GGTGCGGGGGGGGGGGGGGGGGGCGGCCCCTTCTTCGGGACGCAGAAGCGATCTGGCGACAGGTAAGTCGCCAGGATCGGTTCTGTTGTAAAGCCGACAGTCGGCTCTGCAAGTTTAAACAGAGTCCCGATGCCGGCGACGTACACTGCACGTCGTCAGTCACGAAGGGGTTAAATCATTTAGTGGAAATCTGTCTTTACTTTGCATATAGTCCGGGCTTATGGCTTAGCTTGTGTTGTCACCATGTGCATAGCTTATGTGCATGGTGACAACATTTCGCCCATGTACTGTTAGAATTTTGAGCTTGTGAGCATGTGTCGGCGGGGAGAAGTCGCGTGTCAAAGCTGCACACTTCCTTTCCTCATTCTGGGAGTAACTCATCGCATGTAAAGTTCTTTCATCGGTCACATTGATACTCTTGAAGATCCTGCGGGTATATTTTGCACATCACCGATGTCATTTCCGATTCTTTGTCACCAATTATATTTGTATTATTATTCCGCACTGATTTTTTTAATGAATATTTATACTTTGTACACTTTTGTATTCGTCTCGTCTTCAGGTCGGCGCAAATAAACGAACTCGAGTTAATTTTGATTTGTGGAAATAATTTGGGAATCTCCAGATCCCGGCTTGTGATCATCGAATGGAAACTGTTATTTTAGCATTAGAAACATTGTGACCCCCCCAATCCCCCATTACGGCTCCCGGGAGGATATCCGGCACGCACCGTATTGCGGGTTCTCCTGCTCCGGAGGCGGTTTGTGGCCCTTGTAGCTCCAGCTTATGTTGGCGATGGGCTTCTCCTCCTCCAGGGACACCCAGCTGATCGCCTCCTCCTTACCGGCCGGCGGAAGAAACCCGACTTTCTGTACACAGAGGAGAGGAGAGTGTTTGTGGGACGGAAGCCGAGGACGGAGATGACCACCGTTCAGAGTTACTGGACTCACCACAGTCGGAGGACAAGCCGGAGAGGAAAACCGGACGACCAGCAAATCCCGATCAATCGCCATCAGCTTCCAGCTCCCGGGGGAGGAGTCTGGTGGGATAAAGAGGACCAATAGCTGAGCCACCCGCTGGGACCAATCACAGAGGGACCACCACCCGACCATCACTGACACCATACACCCAACTGTGCGCCACTGTACTCCCCC